TGTGGAGGGCTTCCCAGCCCACGGACTGAGGGGACTTAGTGGGCTTGCCAAGCCAGAGAGAGCAGAGTGCCCCGGGGCAGGAGGCTACCTGCTGGAGCAAGCACCTGGTGGCGGAGCTGAAGGGACGCGTTCAGCCCCAGCGTGGGGGCTGCGAAGCTCGGGAAGGAGGCCTGCCGGCCGTGAGGAGCCTCTGCTGATAAAAGCTGTAACGCTTGCTGGGGGGGGGAGTGGGCGGCAGAGGCCAGAGCCAGGCCTGAGCAGGAGTCCAGTGGTGAAAGCTGGAAAGAAGCTGTTCTGCTCAGAGACCTGCATCCTGAGCTTGTCCCGTTCCTTCCAAGTGAATCCTGATCCCACATTACTCCCCTGACCCTAATAAACCCCATAACTGTGTATGGTTTGTCAGTTGTAGGTGGCCACTGCAATGAATTATGGAACCCAGCAGAGTAGAGAGTGCCGTGGGGGTACAGCTGGGGTCAGAACTGGGAAATCTGAGGGTGGGGGCTGCTCTGGTTCCTAGTGCCGCTCTAACAGAAATATACCACCAACGGGAGGCTGAAACAAACAGGAGTGTACTCTCTTACAGTTTAGAGGCTTTAAGTCCAAGTTCAAAGTGCCCTCTGGGGCTGGGTGAACGCCCCCAACCTTGGGCTTCAGCTCCGCCTCCTGCTCCCAGCCCCCTGAAGCTGGAGGCTTTTCTTCACTCAGCTGCTGGCTGCTGAGGCTGACAAGCCCAAGGTTGACAAGTGAAAAGGCACAGTCCCAATGTTACCAAACCACACGGCAGGACATTCATTCAAGTCCATCAAAGTCACAAGGTTGGCAGAGCATGGCAGGCTGCTGAACAACGACACAGCTACATGCAGGGTCCAAGTGTGCCATAAGCCAGAGACCGTTCCCAAAGCTGCTTCCTACATACAGGAAGCAGACCCCATCCCTAAAGCAGCTACCCAGCTGCTTGTGGTAGATCCCACCATGGAGGTGATTGTCAGTCTCGTCATGGGGAATAACTACCACCAGCTGCCCAGACACTCACCCAGGCCCAGCCAGGCTGACATACAACCTGAACTACCACAAGGGTGGAGGGCGGAGGCACGGCTGAAATCCGCCTCAGGGGAATGCCCTCTGGCTGACGGGCTGCTCTGACGTTGACTCTGAGTGAAGTCAAGGGCTGACAGCACTGCTCCACCGTACAGCCGGGCTCCTATAAAACCCACTGAGGGGGGCAGGTGGTCAACGGTTACTCCACAGCAAAGAGGGGCGGGGAAACTAGAGTACAGGAAACAGAGCAACCAGAATGGAAGGAACAATGCTGACATATTATGAAACCGTCAGGCAGTAGTCCGTGTAGAAACTGTTCACTGGAGACCCCAATTGCCGTGTTAACTTTCATCAAAAGCATGAGGAAACACTGTCTCCAACATGCATCCCCATCCTTCCCACTGTATTATTCTGTTGCTGTCAGGTGCCATCAAGTCATCTCCGACTCACAGCGACCCCAGGCACCAGAGAACTAAATGCTGCCCAGTTGTGCGCCGTCCTCAGTCCCTGCTGTGCTTATCGTTGCAGCCACTGTGTCCGTCCATCTCACCGAGGGCCCCCCTTTTCCTCTGACCCTCCACTTACCAAGCACAACGTCCTCCTCCAGGGAATGGCCCCTTCTGACAGTGACCAAAGGTGAGACGAAAGCTGGCCACTCTCACCTCCAAGGAGCATTCCGGCTGCACTTCCTCCAGGACAGGTTTGTTCATTCTTCTGGCAGTCCACGGTACTTCAAGTATTCTTCTCCAACACAACTCAAAGGAATCAATTCTTCTTCGGTCTTCCTTATTCATTGTCCACCTTTCACATGCACATGAGACAACTGAAAATACCATGGCTTAGGTCAGGCGCACCGTAGTCTTCAAACTGACATCTTCACTCTTCAATATTTTACACAGGTCTTTTGCAGCAGATTTACCCAGTGAAATACATCTAACTTCTTGACTGCTGCTTCCATACGTGTTGACTGTGGATCTAAGCAGCATGAAATCTTTGACCACTTCAATCTTTCTCCATTTATCATGATGCTGCTTTATTGGTCCAGTTTTTGAGGATTTTTGTTTTATGTTGAGGTATAATCCATACTGAACACTGTAGTCTCTGATCTTCATCAGTAAGTGCTTCAAGTCATCTTCACTATCAGCAAGCAAGGACGTGTCGTCTACATACCCCAGATTGTTAATGAGTCTTCCTCCAATCCTGATGCCACGTTCCTCTTCATACAGTCCAGCTTCCTGATCGTCTGCTCAGGCTACAGATGGAGTAGGAATGGTGAAAGGATGCAACCCTGACACACTCCCTTCCTGATTTTAAACCATGCAGCATCCCCTTGTTCTGTTCAAACGACAGCCTCCTGGTCCATGTATAGGTTTCTTATGAGCACAATCAAGTGTTCTGGAATTCCTGTATTACTTGTATGTGATATTAATTATATTGTTTGATAATTCCCACATTCCATGGGATCACCTTTCTTTGGAATAGGTACAAATATGGATCTCTTCCAGTCAAGTGGCCAGGTAGCTGTCTTCCAAATTTTCTGGAATAGACAAGTACGTGCCTCCAGTGGGGCATCTGTTTGTTGAAATATCTCAATGGATATTCCATCAATTCCCAGAGCCTCGTTTTTCACCAATTTCTCCAGTAAAGCTTCGACTTCTTCCTTCAGTACCATTGGTTCTTGATCACATGCCACCTCCTGAAATGGATGAACACTGACCAGTTCTTTTTGGTACAGCGCCTCTGTGTATTCCTTCCATCTCCTCTCGATGTTTCCTGCATCATTTCATATTTTGCCCATAGAATCCTTCAATATTGCAACTTGAAGCTTGAATTTTTTCTTCGGTTCTTTCAGCTTGAGAAATGGCGAGCGTATTCTTCCCTTTGGTTTTCTAACTCCAGGTCTTTACACATTTCTTATGAAACTTTGTCTTCTCAAGCTGCTCTTTGAAATCTTCCGTTCAGCTCTTTTATTTCATCATTTATTCCATCGGCTTTAGCTACTCTCTGTTCAAAAGCAAGTTTCAGAGTCTCTTCTGGCATCCATTTTGGTCTTTTCTTCCTTTTCTGTCTTTTTAAAGTTTGTTTGCTTTCTTCATGGATGATGTTCTTGACATCATCCCACAATTCACTTGGTCTTTGGTCACTGATGTGCAATGCGTGTGGTGCAGTGAACCACTTGGTATGGCTTTTCTAGCCATAATCTTTGTAACTCCCACCAGATTTCTGGGTGAGACTATGCAAATAAGGTGTGTAGAACTCTGATGTTGGGGTATGTTGAGATTGGTTAGTTTTGTCACTCTGCCAGGTTTCAAAGGAGCCCTCCTAGAAGCAGAGAGGGAATCTCACTGCCATCAAGAGAGAAGAGCGGGAGGTGAAGTGGAGTGTGTCCTTGGCCCCGAGATCCCCGCCCTGGACCTCCTTGGCTGAGAGCTACCCCAGCAGAGAGCTGCCCTGGCAGAGAGGCCCCTCCAGCAGAGAGACACCCTGGCAGACAGTGACAGTGGAACTAAGAGGCCCGAGACAGAGGGGCAGGCTTACCTGGCCCACACACGCAGAGGCCGGGCTGAGAGGCCAAGGGCCAGAGAGGTGTCTTGAGAGACGAGCAGCAGGGAGACTGTTCCGATTAAAGAATGTATCCTGAGTGCGTTCTTGAACCTGAATTGTAGCCTGTTAGTTCCCTAATGAAGCCCATAATCGTGAGTATTATCTGTGAGTTCTGTGTGGTAACTGCAATGAATTACTGAATCCAGCAGAGAAATAGTGAGTGCTGTGGGAGGGACAGCTGGTGTCAGAATTGGTAAAAGGCTGGAGGGTGGCGGCATGCCTGGCCTCATAGGAATAAGCCTTGGGCAGCTGATGGTGATTCTGCCTTCCTCTTGTGAAGTTAGAGAAGGTTAGAAGATGCTGTCTCTATGTCCTTTTTACAAGGCATCAAATCTATTATTCAGGTGTTCTCTAAATTCAGGAGGGAAATATTCAAGGTCCTATTTTGGCTCTTGTGGACTTAACTGTCTTCAGCTTCAACTTGAACTTGCACATGAGCAGTTGATGGTCTGTTCCACAGTCAGCTCCTGGCCTTGTTTTGGCTGAAGATACTGAGCTTCTCCATCACCTCCTGCCACAGATGTAGTCAATCTGATTCCTGTGTGTTCCATCTAATGAAGTCCATGTGTATAGCCTCCCATTTGTGTTGTTGAAAAAAGGCATTTGCAACAAATAAGTCATTCGTCTTACAAAATTCTATCATGAGATCTCTGACGTCATTTCTATTACCAAGGCCCTATTTTCCAACTAGCAACGATTCTTCTTTGTTTCCGTTAGCATTCCAACACCAGTAATAAACAATGCATCTTGATTGAATACTTGGTCAATTTCAGACTGCAGAAGTTGGTAAAAATCTTCAATTTTTTCATCTTTAGTTTCAGCGGTTGGTGTGTAAATTGAATAATAGTTTATTTTCTTTCAGCCACGGTATGTTCATAAAGACAACAGTTAATTTTGCAACATTTTAGAATTTTCCAGTTATCTCTTTCACTACGTCTAGCTTAATTACACTCTGGCTAGGGAGTGTGTGTATGATTTCACTCCTTTTGGGGAAAAAGATAAGCTTGTTCCAAAGGCAAAGTCATGATTAATCTCTTCTCAGAAGAGGCATAAACTGGCCCAGGACACTTGAGCCACCTGTGAGCCAGGACACAGACGCTCGAGCCACCTGTGTGCCAGGACGCAGAAGCTTGTGCCACCTGTGTGCATCAGGACGCAGACACTCGTGGCACCTGTGCACCAGGACACGGACGTTCATGCCACCTGTGCACCAGGACGCAAAAGCTTGCGCCACCTGTTTGCACCAGGACACAAGACACTCGTGGCAACTGTGCGCCAGGACGTGGACGCTCGTGCCACCTGTGCGCCAGGACATGGACACTCGTACACCTATGCTCCAGGACGCAGACGCTCGTGCCACTTATGTGTGCCAGGATGTGTCTAGGACGACACAGCCTGAGCAGGACCTTGCAGTGCAGGTCACACGCACACGAAATTTCTAGATGCAGCATCTGGACACCAGGGGCAGGCCTCCAACAGCTGTCCTTATGGTTTATCACGTGAGGCGGAAGCACGAGGAAGCAGGAGCAGAGACAAGGAAAGGTGATGGTCCGGGATCAGGAGACAAGGCGCCTGCACCGTGAGCGTCAGCCAGCGTCTGGCGATCGGGATGCCGGAGCACCCTGTGCCTGAAGTGATGCGCAGCAGGGTCACCCAGTGCTCTGAGAAGGGCAACACTAGCTGTGGACACACACGGGCACATGATGTAAATGGTGACGCAAAGAGCAGAGTCTTCTCCTTGCAACACCTGCAAACGCCCCGTGGTCTGCACCCCTGAGCATGTCACGTGGCAGCCTGCCACAGGGAGTCAGCAGGGCAGGATGGACTTACTGTCTGCGGGAGACCAGACCATTTACAGGAAACGTACTGCCACTTTCCCCATGTGACCGCATCACGTCATTCACATGGGGGCAGGTGGGTGCGGCAGGTATCCCCAGAATTACCTTCACCAGCTCCTTGTACCTCGCCTTCAGCTCCTGGTAGAGCCTGCCGTACTTCTCAACGGAAACGAGGGACAGGGTGCTTTTAAAGTCAGTCTTCCTGTTCTCCACTGACCACCTGGCCAGCCTGGCCAGCAGCTCCTGTCCTAGCCAGCTGGATCTGGGATACACAACCCCGTCACAATGCCACCTTTCTGGACAGAAAATTAAGACAGACAGGAACCTTTAAAACAAGAGAAATATGAATGAGCAGGGCCCCTTTAAACGTTTGTTTTCAGCTTACATATCCCCTTCTAAATGAGCCAGGTTTCTTAGCTACCTGAGGGCAACCCTCTGACCCCACAGTGTTGAGCATGGGCTGCCCAGCCAGCTCTCACCATTCCTGTGGGCCGTGACATAGCCGGATCTGGTAAACATTGCTCATCTGAATCCTTAAATTCCCATCAGCATCTTCTTCCAATGGGAAGAATGTCACAGCCCCACGGATTGGGTCTGGGGAAGAAGAAAGTGGCAAGTTAGCACAGCTTAGCTCTGTGACTCCTAGACGTGCACCAAGACACCGACACCAACAGGTCAGAGCCCACCTCCAGCTGCCAGCGGCTCTCCCAGGGCACCATTCACACAGTGCCCCTACCTCCTGCTCCCCGCGGCTGGGGCGCGCTTGCACAGGGCAGACACTGACCACAGGTCCTGCCCGGGTGGACGCTGGAGCCGGGACCTGCAGTGCAAGCGGTCTGCCCGTCAGGGCACAGGGAAGCACCCGTGACCTGGGGCGGCAGTCAACGCCACAGGCCAGCCTCCGCCCCAGCCCCAGTGGCCAGGACAACCTCCACCACAGTCTGGCCATCATCTTCAATGGGAACTGGATGCAGAAACTAGCAGCATCGGAAGCCGGCCGAGACAGGCCCTCCTCACCGCAGGCTTTGCACCATGCAGCCCTCACTGTTCGGAGGCACTCTGCACGTGCTTTCCCGTGACATTAGTCAGAAGGCAAGGTCCTAAGCCAAGAGCACTCCCAGACGCCTGGAGGGTAAGCAGGCTCCATGTGCCGCTTTTCTTAAGTTTCCTTTTTATCCTGAATGTTCACACTACTTTATAACCTGTTCCAAAATGCACTGATGAACGTGGCAGCCCCAATGATGGTTTCTCTCCGACCTCGGCTTTACAGACGCTTCAGCAGGCACGCGGAGCACTGACCCCTGGCCCTGGGAGGCTGGCTGGAGACTGGCTGGAGACACAGGAGCTCAGGGTAGAAGTGCAGCCCCTAGTGGCCAGATGGGCTTCAGGTCTGTCCTCACAGGCAACCCACCTGTGCCTCACCACCAACCAAAACCCAAAGCCAAACTCAAGCCATCGAGTCGCCTCTGACTCACAGCGACCCCCGCTGGGTCGCCAGGGAGAGAAATCTTTACAGAAGTAGACTGCCCCATCTTCTTTCCACGTCTGTACCAGTCTCTCAAAGGTCACGCTGTTACACGCCTACGTGTCTTACTATATAAATAGAGTCTGTTTCTCTTATCTCGGGGAAGCAGAAAACTAGACGGGGAAACTGAGGATGACATGGAGGCTCTCGGGCCTGGCGAGCATGGCTGAAGCCTGGCTCAGAGGCAAAAGCTGCATTTCAGAGGTAAGAGCCAGCTCGTTTCTTCACATACAAGTAACTAAATCTACATTTTTGGTTCCTAATCCCAGACACAGGAGCTCTGGTAGCATAGTGGCTAAAGCACTTGACTGCTAACCAGAAGGCTGGCCGTTCAAACCC